GGAGTCTTAATGGTTTAAGAACTTTTTCTATAAGATAATGGTGAATCATTGTTGTTTTTATTTAGATTTTCTTTAGAAGATAGTTTCTGAAATTTGAGAGGACGGTGTATTTCTGTTTACTGTTAAGATTTGCCTATAGTAAAAGGGAAGATTCTTTTCCTAGGACCACTGAGCAACAGCAGAGATTCCATGAAATTTGCAGCAATCTCGTAAAAACTCGACGCAGAGCTGTGGGCTGGTGGAAACGCCTCTTTACGCTAAAGGAAGAAAAGCCTAAAATGGTACTTTTTTAGTTTTGACTTATTTAAGTAAAGCAACATTTTAAGATTGAGTCAATTTTTCCTTCATTGTAGTGTAAAGCCTTTTTGCTTTACTCTAGTTGTAGTTTGATGTTTATCATTATCTGTTGGTTTAACTCCTCTGAGTACATTCATAAGTATTTATCTGTATTAAGCTAAAAGTTAAAATTACATTTTGCATTCAATTTTTTATTCTTGTAGAGGTGAATTTTTTGTTTCTCTTTTATTTACTGAAATAAATGTAAAAGACATATACTTAGGAAGCATTTGTTCTCTTTTCTCTTAGCTTCACTTGAGGTTACTATGTGAAGTTATTAATTGCAAAAGTAGATAACTTACAAACTACTTAATTTACATACAGAATTATAGTTATTCTAGGAGAGAATGTATGTAAATTCTATAAAGGAGACCTAGGGAGTTTTCTATGGGTTTTATATAATATATAGATACTAAATATTTTTAAAGAGAAATGGGAATAAAAACGGAGTTATTTTCCAATCTTTGAAACAACCTCCTAAAGTTTCGCTTCTTAGTCTGTTTCTAGGAGTTGATAAATTCTTGTTATTTTCATTATTAGTACTTCATGACCATGATCATTTCTCTTGCTGCGGTTGCTTGGGTGGGACAGCAAGTCCACAACCTCCTTCTCACCTACCTGATAGGTAAGTCTTTGAGGACAAACTGCAGGCACATCCTGGCCAGTAAAGTCTAACTGGAATTTAGTAAGCAATATGTTCCTGCTCCCTGAGTTCCAGGCAGTGATTAAGGAACTGTGTGAGTATGGAAAGATGACTAAATCCCAGGTCCTTGTTTTCAGTGAGTTTGTGGTCTTATCAGAAGTTAAGACAAAGAACTAATAACCAAGGTAGAAAGTAATGTGCAAGAGGTAAAAATAAGCAGTGTGTCTTATCTGAGGTTGGGAGGTATGAAGCAGAAGCTTCTGGGGATAAATACCAATGGAAATAATGGGTTTCATGTTACTTCCTCCCATTAGAGTGTGTAATAGTCTGAAGAACTACCTTCTATAAAATGTTAGAATCTTTGGGAAGTTAATTGCTGCCTTTGTAATTTTGTTTTGTTTTTAATTTTAAGTGACTTTCTTACTCTTGCTTCCTGGACTAAACCAACATGGAATCATTTCGAAGTACATTGGAATGGCCAAAAGAGAGATAAACAAGCTTCTCAAACAAAAAGAAAAGAAAAATGAATAATACATCTGCTTTATGCAGTGTGATTAATGGTGTATACATTGTCCTTGGGGACAGTGTCTGTTATGCTGTCTGGATACTAAAATGTTACAGATGTAGCTCTTTGCTGTCCCTCATTCTGCCCTTAGTTAGTAGAAATTCTGACTTGCCAAGTAAGGCTTTATGCCCAGTGTCTTCATGGGTGTGTTGTCATCCGCTGGCCTTATATGGACAACTCATTCATCATTACCACTCGTCTTGGTTTTTCTCACCCAGGGTTAATTGAACTCTTACTTTTAAAATAATATAGTGGTGAACTTCATCCTTTAGTACAGTTAACAGTGGCCTGGGATAACTGTTCAAGTTGATCTTTGCTTTAGCTGGGTACAAGATAGTGGTCTGTGACCACAGGAAGCTGGTTCTACTGTCTGCCTCCACACTCTGCTTAAACAGCTGTCTGGCTTCGTGAATAAAGAAACCAAGTTTACCACTTCTGATGAAGAGACCGGTTAAGATTCACTCCTCATTCTGTTTCGACACTGTGGGAGAAGAATCCTCATGGAATAAAATGAAAGTAATTCCATGGCCTAGTATGTGTTGGCTTCTCCCTTGTGCAGAATTTAGCAATTTGTTGGAAACATTGATCCTCCCTCCCAAATGGGTAATCTGACAGGCTTAGAACTCTTGTTCCCGTGCACTTAAACTTGAAGTTAGTACATCCTTAAGTGCTTTTTAGTAGCAGGCTTACGCAAGATGGTATTTAGGATTTTTAGCATACTTTTGATTTCAGATTTTCAGCTAAATGAAACTAAAGTACATAATAGGTTAAGAGTCATGTCTATGACCTTCACTCCAAGACCAGCCAATAAAGAACAAAACTCATCCTGTATTTAGTCAAGATTCATTTCAGTAGAAAATCCTACTAGTTTTTCAAGACCAGAATAAGCCTTTAAAGGTAAGCCTCAAGATTCTCATTTTATGGTAACACTGGCTGCTTTTGGTCCCCATAGATGGAGTAGTTGAAATCTGTAGGAATGAACCTCTGAAGGCTGGAAATGTGACATACTTGGGAACAATTCTTAAACTGATTAACTAGCTGTAATATAGTTTTGTGAATTTATTGCACTGATGCTGTAAAACCTGGACCTTGTGGTATATCTGTTCCTAAATAAGTGTTGTTTTCTCTCCTTCAGTATTGCTGTAAACAGTGGCACCCATGTAGCATATGTTTGACTTTTCTTTTTTTAATGTTTCGTATACAAACTACCGTAATTTACATGTTTCCTCACTGTAAATAAGCTTGTCTTCCTAGATTTTTGTGTGTATGTGTGTTCTACCAATTAACTACTTTTGCAGTTTTAATCCTGTATTATTTCTTCTACTTTGTTTTGTGTAAAAGGGGAAAAATAAAAAATCTGGAATCCCTCCTTTTGTCCTTTCTTTATAGCTTAGCCAGTACAACGTTTACATGATCGGATTTATGTACCCAATTAATGAACTACCCTGTGTGATCATTACATGGTTATAAGGTGCTCTTTAAGAATAAAATGAAATAAAAGGTTTAAATTTATTCATCCAGTAAACATCCAGGCACCACCCTAGATGGAAAAGGAGATACAATGAATAACTGATGGCCAAAGGTGATGTGTGAGAGGGCCTGGTTGGAAGAATAGGCAGGGAGCCATGCAGGAGAGAGTGCCTGCCAAGGCACCTCTGTACCCTAGGGCCTAGCTCAGAATTCGGTACCTGAGCTGCTCAGTAAATAATTGGTGGGTGACTTTTGTCTGCACTTAGAATTTTTTAAAAAATAGAGCCCCAGGCTTCCCTGGTGGTGCAGTGGTTGGGAGTCCGCCTGCCGATGCAGGGGACGCGGGTTCGTGCCCCGGTCCAGGAAGATCCCACATGCCGCGGAGCGGCTGGGCCCGTGAGCCATGGCCGCTGGGCCTGTGCGTCCGGAGCCTGTGCTCTGCAACGGGAGAGGCCACAACAGTGAGAGGCCCGCATACCGCAAAAAAAAAAAAGAGCCCCAGTTGGATATTTTATCATTAGGCCTTACTATCTATACGTAGTGGATCCTGGGAACAGATTCAATGTCAAATTAAATCTCTTTGCTCCCCCTCTCCCCAAAACGTATGGATCCTTCCTTGGAGCCTCCTGGGGGCTTGATGATGTCCAGAACAGGGAAGTCTCAACCCAGTCACCATAGGTCTCCTCCTGGTCACGATGCTCTGAAATGCTGGTCTTCCACATGCAGCTATGATTACTCCCCAGGCCAACTTGGCTACTCCTGTGCTAGCTCTGGCCACAGCACAGGTCCCCTTTCAACTCTTGCCTTTGCACCACCTCTGGCAGAGGTCCTGTCATTCCAGAATTCACAGGATGACAAGAGGCAATTTATACATGGCCCTCCCGCTCCATTTCCACCCTTCTACCCTCTTCCCAGTTCCAGCCCAACCATTCTGAGATTTCTGTCCATCTTTATATGCCCTCCTAGCTCTTATTATCTATAGGCCACACACCCTTCCTAACGTTTCAGGATCCCAAAACCCCACAAGTAATTTAGTAGCTTAGACAAGTTATAAATGACCACTTTTTTGTTTTGATTTTTTAACCTACAGCAAAATTTGGAGACTGAGTTAAGATTGAATTTAGTTTGCTCCCTCATTTGTGAAGTGGAGATAATAGTACAGATCTCACAGGGACATTATGTAATTGCGTGTGTTGTTTTGAGGATTCAGTTAATCTACAGGAAGCACTTAGTGGCAGTTAGGAATTAGTAGTTGTTAGCACCCTTCACGACACAGATCAAATGGCGCTTCCTCTGTGAAAGCTTTAGCAACTTTCCAGGCCACCTCTCCGTTCTCACAGCACTTCATATTGGCGTCCTGATCTGTCTCTGCTAGGATCTGTACCTCTTAAGGGCAAGAACTGACATTTTTGTCCTCTCACCTGGTACAACACCTGGCAGGCACATGGTAGGCACTCATTAGATATTTCCTGAATGAAGGGATGAATGAATGAAGGAAGTGTATAAAGAGATAGTGGGTGGTATGAATTTTCTATTTATGGTAAGGCTCTTGAAGAAAAGTGGATTTATTCACTTACCTTCCCACTGTTGCTAAGGCCCTCGAGGTGAGCACCACATTTTTAGTCAACAGAATGTGTTGTTAAGTGTACAGGTAACCAGTTCTTAAAGGAAATGTTCATTAGAAAAGCAAATGTCCTTTTGTAAATGTAAGTTACAACCAGAGATTTCTATATCCCTGAGATGTTCAAACTGGGAGCTTGGTTCTCCTCAATGTTCACCTGGGATTTGAGAAGCATTGGGGGTGGGGGAGGTGGGCTGTGATGCTAATCACAGACACTGACTGAGCACGCAGGCTCCCGGGTTTTATGTGTCTCTTTTATTTGGATTATTTCATTTACCCTCATAGCAACTTCAACTGATTGGTGTATCATCCCCATTTTGCAAATCGGGAAACTGATTTGCCCATTCATTTATTCATCAAATACGTGTCAACCGCCTACTATGTACCAGATGACTTTTCTAGAAGCTGTGGGTACAGCGGTGAACAAAACCAACCAAATCCCTGCTTACTTAACGGAGACAGACGATAAATACACTTCCAATATTTCAGGTGGTAAGTGCTATGGAGAAAAATTAAGCGGGGCAATGGGGTTGGGGGGAATGGGGAGAAGGTTGTATGAGTGTGTGATTGAATAGAGACCTGAGGAAAGGGAGTGGGGAGCAAGTCTCGGGATAAACTGGGGGGGGGGAGGAATACTCAAGTTAAAGGGAAAAGCAAATGCAAAGGCCTTGAGGCAGAGTATGCTTGGTGTATCTGAAGAAAAGCAAGCCAGGGGCGAAAGTTGGGGGGATGATGTTCCTAGGCAAGGAGGCAGGTGTGCAAGTCAGAGAGGACCTTGGTTTTGGTAAGGAATTTGGATTTTACTGAGGGTGCTAGGAACCCTTGGAGAGTGCAAGGTTTGACAAGTTTTAAAGCGATCATTGTGGCGGCCAAGTGGGAAACACAAGGAAGGGTAAGAAGGGAGGGTAAGGGTGACAGCAGAGAGGAAAGAAGCCTATGGCAGAAGTTTCAGATGTTGGGTATCTAGCCTGAGGTTACTCAGCTCCGGAGAGGGCGGAGCCAGAATTCACTTCCTCCCAGGCCGTCAGACCCCGGGCTTCAAGCCGTACCTACTGAGCATTTATATACTACGTGCCAGACATTTTGCGAGCCCTTTGTCACCATTATCTCATCTGTTCACCTGGGATTTGAGACGGCTGAGCGTTTATTTTGAAAGCGCTTAAAAGGCTGAGCGTTTATTTTGAAACATTTGTGGCTTTCTTCCAAACTGTGTATCTCAGAGCTCAAAAGCAAAGCCTGGAACTCCAGTAAATAATTTCTAATATTTAGGGAGAGTCAAAAAGGAAGCACCGATTAAAAAATATATTTTTGACTGTATGAAAAAGTAATCTATACATGTTTCAAAAAACAAAACTAAATTGTATTGGGAGAAAAGCAAGTCTTCCATCCCAGTTCCTAACGCCCTTCCCAGAGGCATTTACCGATTTCTTGTGGGTCCTTCTAGAGATACTGTAAATACGCAAGTATCAAAATTAATTCTAAATGGTGAACAGTCACTGCAATAAAAATTTGCAAATATCTAGGCCCTTGTCAGTTTTTGACTTTTACGGATTAGATGCTAGAAGGGAGTCGAACCTGTGCTAACGCCGCACCTCCACCAGCTAGCTCCCCAGGGCCTCGCCTGGGTGTTCGACTCCATCGACTCTCTACTGCCCACCCCTGAGGAGGTTCCGCCCCTCACCCGCCTCCTTCCACTAGGCAATTCATTTTTTAATTTTTTTTGTTTTTGGCGGTCTTTTGAAAGTCTCGCGATAGCCCGACCGCTTCCCATAATTCCGTGCACTCGCCCCTCCCAATTTCTTTCCGCCATCTTTCCGTGCCGGTGAGTGTCTCTCTCTGAACGATCTAGTATCATCCGTCAGCTATCGGTGCCATCCTATGGTCTAGGACTGGGCTTCGGTGCCCTGCGAGGATGTCGGAGACCTCCTGGGCCGGGGATACTATCCTTGCAGGGGTCTGGGCAGGCGGAGGGGGGAGTCCTGCCCGGCCGCCCCATGCTCTGCACTCTGGGGAGCCCAGCCTCTGGGGCGCAGGCCGCAGCCCCGGCGGGACCCGGAGCTTTCGACCGTCAGGGGGCAGTCCCGACTCTTTCGGCGGCGCCAGGATCTCCCATTAGTGGTCGAGGCAGCTCCTTGGCTCCGAGAAGCATCGGGGAGCCGTAGCCTTGGTGAGCCGTGCAGCTTCCCATTACTTCGGCCGCGCCGGGAGCTTGGGAGACAGAAGATCCTCAGGAGGGAAAACTGGGTCCTGCCTGGGGTGGCGGTTTGCTGGGAACGAACTTGGGTCGTCTGGGCTCCAGGGTTTCCCCTCAGACACTTTGTTGAGCTTGAGGAAGCAGGTTGGATCCCTACTGTTGTCATTTGAGGCATGCCTCTATCCTTAGCTTTCAAAACTATTGAAGTTCGTGCCCATTGTGATAGAGTCCATTCTGGTGCATGTGAAATGTTTCTGCCTACCAGTGTGCTACGATTGCTGTTGGTCATAATTTTAGATGGCACAAGGACGGACGTTTCATTTTAATAGTTACGGGTGTTAGGTGAGAGTTGAGTAGTATCTTTTGGGTGTTAGGACAAGGCTGACACTGAGTCAGTTGGTTTAAAGGACAATGTTAAATAGTACAGATGCTGCTGGATTCCAGAAGTTTGGAAAATATTGCTGGTGATTATCAGCTCCCGTTCTGGATAACTGACCTACCATGGCTGGTATTTTCATTTGATTAATGAAATAATCAAATGAATTATTTGATTCGACACAGTCGACATATTCCTCTGGGTATCCTGGGGAACTAGCCTGCTTAGAAATGGGGAAACTTCCTCATGATAGAGGCAGAAAGGAAAGGATGTGTTCGCAGTGGAATGATTGGGTGCCTTTTAATGGCAATGCCAATAAAACCCCTGTTTTGTCTTCCCTGAACAGCCATAATGGTGCGCATGAATGTCCTGGCTGATGCTCTCAAGAGTATCAACAATGCCGAAAAGAGAGGCAAACGCCAGGTTCTTATTAGGCCGTGCTCCAAAGTCATCGTCAGGTTTCTCACTGTGATGATGAAGCATGGTAAGTGTCTTGCTGTTTATTATGTTTTGAGGTAAACATGTTACAGAATGGGTCCTGTAGAAGTTAACTGTTGGAGAGATGTGGGAAGATGGGAGAACAAGGTGGCAGTCATACATGGGAACTAATGCAATTGATTGGGGCTGTGGACAGGGTAGTTCTGGACAAATGATGCTGTTCAAGAAATACTGAGTAGGGTAGAACTGTTGAAAGGAGGAGAAAGTTTGGCAGCTAAAATGGCCTTTCTTTGTGTAACATTGCAGCTGCAACATGTCACTGAAAGGGCCCTGAACCTAAGAGCTCCTTGGGATGGAAAGGAGGATTGTTTTGTCTTGGGCACGAGGTAGCCTTTGGGAGTGGGAAGCCGTGAAAAGGCAAGGAGGAAATAATCCCCTTTTTAACATTTCAGGGTGGATTGTTCTGGGTGTTGTCCCCTAAATTTTAAAAATTATTTTTAATACAGTTACTTGTGTTCTGTAGGTTACATTGGCGAATTTGAAATCATCGATGATCACAGGGCTGGGAAAATTGTTGTGAACCTCACAGGCAGGCTAAATAAGGTAAGGATTGATTATCTTCCATGTTTAAGAACCTTCAGAATGGTCTACCAAGGTGTTCCATGTTATAATTGCCCTTGTAGAATCAGATAATGTGCTTGCTTTAGGTTAAAAAGATTAGGGATTGAATAAAATCGTTAATTTTTATATAGGACCTTTTACTTCGTTTGTTCTCCAGGTAGAATTGTGAGTTAACCTAGTGTTTGTGGAGTAGAAGGTATCTGAAGGGAGATGCGGGAGGGTTGGGTGAAAATGAACAACCGATGATACTGGTGTTTGAATCTTGGGTGGCTCAAGGCCACTAGTCCTGACAATGTAAATAACTTTTGGTCCTTCGTCTCACTTGGTGATTGTTGGGTATTTTGAACAGAGAGTATGGGATTCTCTAACTATTAATATTTCTGTTTTTGCTGACATAAGCTGAATGTATGTCTTTCAGGTCTCTTCTCCCTGTAGGCATAATCTACTGAATCTGTTTGATTCTTTTGACTTTGTGGTTTAACTGATTCCATGTATTTTGGGGGCAGGTATCTGTCTATAAGCAAGTTGGGGGTCTCTAAGCTGCTACCCTGCTTTCTGTGTTCAGGTTTGTAGCTTTCATATTTGCAAGGGGTCCAACAGAGTTGGGCACACGGGCCAAGAAAGTGAGTGGTTAGTGACGGGCCAGATTTATTGATAAGGTTATTTCCTGGACCAACAATTCCTATTTTACAAAGTTGGTTCCTTACATAGTGAATTTGCTTCCTGTGTGGATACTTAGTGTCAGATGAAAACTACTGAATTTGAAGCCTTTGAAGAATTTTTGAAGGGAATTTTGGGCCTATGTCTTGTTTTGTTCTGTTGTAGCCATTAGACTCCAATCCCACGGAAGGATTTGGATTCACTTCTCTTTCACTCTGACCTTCACAATGTTCTTGAAGTACAAGAGGGCGTGTCTTTTTTCCCCTGTTTTTAGGAGTTAGGAAGCTGAGAGCTGAGTCCTGCTCAAGGTCTCAGTAAACTGTGGAAGAGCTGGTTCCAGTATATAGTTTAAAGCTGTCCTGCAGCAGCTTTTGTTGATGTTAAAAAAGCAAAACCAAAAAAACTTAGTTGGAGAAGTGCCCTGTACCACATTTCTCTTGAACTACACATAACAGCTTGAGAAATAAGTTTGAACAGAGTATTTCCCAAATGGAACTCATTTGTGACATCCTTGTTCAGTGGTATACTAGTTTAGAAAATCCTGGCTAACAGGTAGTTGAAATCCAGGCCCTGCCACATTTAACTGTTTGAATTAGTTTTTGGTTTCTCTCAGTTGCAGTTCTCTTACTTTATAAGACATTTTTGCCTCAGTTTCCTTCATGCAGGAGATAGATGTACCTTATTGTGGAAATGTAATGTAGTTGGGAAGTAAGGTAGTGTTTAAAGATTATAGATTAAGAAAATTCTTGCCTTGATTGTATCCTCTTAAGATTCATCTGCTTTGGGAGTGGATGTGCTGGAGTTCTGCTAGCTGAATGGAAGGGATTTTTGCTGCTGGAATAAAGCAAGCCTGGGTGTGGTAGTGTAGAGGCCTCAGAAAGGTCTTTCACTGTAGCTTGCTTGGGTTTTCCCTGTTCCTATCCCTGTATTGCTTGCATCCAGTGTGGGATTGCCCTTGACGGTCAAGTGACATTTGTAGCTGATAAGGTGATGTTATAAAAAGAAGAACCTGAGTGGCCCTCCTGCCATGGGGCAGTTGGGCATGACAGGTCCATTTTCAGTTTCTGTGGGTTCAGATCTGTCTAGGGAAGTGTACCAGCTCCAAAGACTTCACTAAGTTCCAATCTCATAGCCTCTTCTAGTTTACAGTTAAGCATCTTGGAATCTTGAATGATTCTTATGTGGATGTGCACACACAGCTTTCTGTCCGCTCCCTTAGCCCTCTGAAGGTACTAATCCTGAGTGTTCTCACGTGATCATTTCTTGTGTGTAAACAGCAGGAGGCTTCCTGCTTTGATTTTTTTTTTTTTTAAGTGTGCTAGTGATTTCTAGAGTTGGTGGTCTAGCAGAGGGCGGGGTCACATTTAGCTCTAATTAACTAAAGAGCCTTTTAGTCCCCTCATTTTCCACCCAGTTGGATGTAGTCATAGACCTTGTGTGAACCCACGGATAGATTCATGTAGCCTGTTAGTGGATATTTGAAACTTTATTGTGTTGTATGGTTTAGGTGTGATGGATTGTAGTGCCTTGGCTCTTAGCTCTCACTTTGGAGGATAGTAGTTGCTGTGTCATCTCTCCCACCCAGCACTGTCGTAGCATGCGGGTGGGATAACTCTTTACCTGTTTCTGCCTTCTATACATTTTGCTAGATTAGTAGGGCTTGACTATAATTTATTTGTCTAAGACTTGAGTTCTTTAAAATCTGGTCATTTGTGCTGAGGCAGCTCTGTGGGCCATAGGAATGCACACTGGTGTTATTTTGGTGTTTTACCTCTTCTGTTGACTTTTTCAATAGTTTGCCTTTTCTTCCTAAGTAGGCATAGTCTTAATTGTGTTTTTCACATGGCATTTATATCAAAGATTGTACAGAATAGTTACCCATTAAATGTTGAGTTGGTTGGTTTATATGACTATTCAGTTATAAATGCATTTTAGTGTTACTCTTTTTCTGTTATTGGTGAAGTGTGAACAGCGTTTTCTGTTATGTTTTTACAGTGTGGAGTGATCAGCCCCAGGTTTGATGTGCAACTCAAAGATCTAGAAAAATGGCAGAATAACCTGCTCCCGTCCCGTCAGTTTGGGTGAGTCAATTTTCCGTATTTAAAAGTTAATGCTGTGGATCCCTGTGATGCAGTTTGACTTGAGCTTTTTTTTTTTTTTTTTTTAACTTAATAGCAGTAGCAATTGTCTCCGTTTCCATCCTTGACTCAAGGATTAGCTCCTGTGTTGCCATACTTCATGTGTTAGGCTCTAGTTTCTGAGAGGCGTGGAAGAGCTGGGGCTGGTTGAGAGACAGCAGAATTGTGTGCCCTTTAATGTCTGCTCTTTTGGCTCAGTGCATATAGTTCATATATATTCACTGTGAATCCCCTCCTATGGCCAGAATGACTTCTCAACCATTGGCCTCTGGGGAAACTCGATTTGAAAATCTTCCTCCTCGGTAAGAGACTGAGTTCAAATCCTGGTTTTTCTGCTTTAAACCTGTGAGGCCTTGGGCAAGTCATAGCCTTGATTTCTTGATCTTAAAAATGGTGGTAGTTCTCCTGTAAGTTATAGTATCACCTGATTTAGTTCTGGTAAAGCACTTTAAGATCTGACACAGTAAGTGCTTATCTATTTGTGGTTAAGAACTTAAAGCCACAGTCGTGTTTGGCGGTGCTGAATTTACTCCCACTTCGTGGTTGCCGTATAACAGGTATAGTGTTATGAGCGAGTCATTTCTGATTGTAGTTACGCTACTAATTTTCATGCCTCCCAGTTGGCATACCTTCTGTGTCTTACGTTGATCCCCATAGTAACCCATGAGGTAGCCAGGACAGGTGGGACGCCCTTTGTCCAAATAACTGTGTACAGTAGCTTGCCTATGATGGTACACACAGTAAGTGGCAGAAACAATTCAGTCAGTACTTTAATGCTTTAGATTGCATGTCTCCTTGAGAGCAGAAAGTGACATTTTGAAGTTAAAGGAGTTCCAGTCTTTGCTCTTAGGTAACGTTGCTTCTCGTTGTTAGCTGAGGCCAGGGCTGTATGTGTATAGCTGATATCTCTGGGTTTGGGTCTTTGGTTCTAGGAACCGTGCCTGTGTACTGCCAGCCTGTGGAGGCAGCATTAATCTGTGTGTCCATTATGGGAAGGCATCTTAAGCATTGATAAATGTTGGAGTTTTTCTGTACCAGAAAGTAGCTCTGTGTTGAACATTCTTAGGAAAAACTTACCAGCTTTTTTTTTTTTTTTTTTTTTTTTAATTTTTCTTTGTTTAATTTTACTGACAACCTCAGCTGGCATCATGGACCATGAAGAAGCAAGACGAAAACACACAGGAGGGAAAATCCTTGGATTCTTTTTCTAGGGATGTAATACATACGTGCAAATAAAATGCCTCAGAGGACTCTGGTGCTTCCCTCAGTCGTTTTGAACTTTGTACAGCAGAGTAGCAAGAGCGTCTGCGGGAGTGTACAGCCTTTGTGTTAATTGGTGAATGCTGTTTCCTTGACGTAGAAGAAAGTTTTGACTTGGGATAACTTTCGCCGTCACCCTTGTGGCTCACCAGAGGAGGGTGTGTCTGGCCCTGGATGGTTGACTCTGGGTTGGGGTCCAGGTGGTGAAGCTGTACCTTTCTGGAGTCTTACATTAACCCTGGAAGGAGTGGTGCCTTTCCTCTTTGTAGTTTGACAGAATACACATTTCAAGCCCTAAAAATATGATATGGTTGTAGTTGATTATGTAAGTGCTCATAAGGAAGCAGATAACTAGAGCCCCACAGCTCACTAAGATTCATCTCAAAGTAAATTTGGATGGCATATCAGGGACATTTTAGCAATATGTGGTTATAAAATGTCATTTTTTCCAAAAAGTGGACCATCTTTTAAAAACTAGTTTTACTATAAACCTGTCACCAAGTATATTCTGGAATTGGGGAGAATTAGTTTACTGGACCACTTGACCTGGGAAATGCTTGTAAAGAGCTCAGACACCAAAGAGAGGGCAGGGGTGGCTTTTGTGAAACAGACCACGGCTCCACTCTCCCTTCTAAGAGTAGTGCTGTCCAGTACAGCTGTAACAAGAGCCACATGTGTAGTTAAGCCTTCTAGTAGCCGCGTGAAGACAAAGAGAAACAGCTGGGATTGATTTTTTTTTTTAATAACATTTTGTGTTCAAAAGTTAAAATTTCAGCATATAATTGATGTGAAAAATGAATGGGATTTTACTCTTCATGATGTCTTTGAAATGATGAACACTGTACATTTATTTATACCTAAAGCACATCTTGGTTGGGACTAGCCTCTTTTAATAGCTACATGTGGCTGGTGTTCCGTATTGGACAGCACAGTCTAGACTCTTGATTCTTGGTGGGTCTGGCCAAGGAGAAAGGACGCTTGGAAGAGATCCTGGGTATGTTATGTTATTGAGCACCTAGCCAGCTGTATTTTCCTGCATAGGAGTAGGGTGAATGGGGAAGCTCAGCCTTACAAAAAAGGACAGCAGCTACTTTTCCTCAGTTGTCTGCTGGTCAAGTGGGCCAAAGTTAAAAAGGCTGTCAGGTTGTAGGCCTTATTACAAGATGTCCAATAGACCTAATAGGATGTTAGGTGCCTAAACCTGTTTGATGTATAGGTTTGATTTTATTTTTCTTTTCAGAAAAGGATAAGTTTCACGGTTCTGCATTGGGATTGTTTTGATAACTTTCCTATAGGGCTGTTTTTTGACTTTCTTCTGGGTCAGACAGTTCTTGGTAAAAGCCTCGCTGACCTGGCGTAAGGTGAATTCTGGCAAGTGACAACTTCTTTGTTCTTCCTGTTGGGTAAACAGGGACAACTTAACCTCATGGGGTTGCTAACATGGACTGGTGCATGGCTTGTATTCAGTAACTTAGTAACTTCCTGGAAGGAGGGCCTACTGTAAGATATGGGAAACAGGAGTACCTAGACGCCCTAGAGATGTGGCTGGTAACCACATGTGGTAGGCCTCACTTGCTAAAATGTGAGAAGAAAAGTTGAGAGGCATGTCTGGGTTTGGGGCCTCTGATGTTTGGAAGGCCATGAGTAAGTAACATGGGTTTGGGGGCTCAGTACACCAGGATTGAGGTCTGCTTTTCCACGTAATAACTTTGATTCCCTCATCTGTATATTGGAGATAATGGAAAAAAACCTACCTCAGTTGAGGGAAAGATGAGGTTATATAAAATAGCACTTGACAGTCATTTTACAGCTGTATTTGTCAGACACTGAAGTGAAGCGAGTCTAGAAGACCAAAGAGCTAATGGTTGATTGGTTCTCTTAATGCCAAGGTTGTAAGCTCTAGGTGGATGGAGGCCATGTTTTGTTTACTGTTGTCTCGTCTCTAGCCTGATACGTGGCACATAGGGGAAGACTCAGTAAGTACACCTTGACTGAATATCATACTGGGCATTGACTTCAAATGCTAAAGTGAGGACAAGAAAATGGCCCTATTTGCCATTAGTAGGGATGCTGTGTCCTTTAAAATGAACAAGGGTGGGAAAAATCTGGATAAGGAAAATTGGGTGACCTGTTGATGAATTTAACAGCACATGAGTGAGGAAGCAGGTGGCCTTAGTCCTTGTTTCTGAGACCCAGTAAGAGTTGTAACATGACCGGAGGCTGGTTGGCTGGGTCTAGACACCTGGGTTTGAGGCTCTGGAGATAGTTTAGGTTCCTGCTGGCATAATGACTTGGCTCAGAGTTGTACTTTGCTGTGGTGTGAACTCAGCTTTTCCTCCTAACGTGCTACTGTTGCCAGCAGGCAGAGATCTGGGGTTCGGAGTGGGACAGCCCACCAGATGCACTTTGAGTCAGTGTTGAAGGGGGCCGCAGCATGTACCCAGACCCTGGAAGTCAAAACCGCTGCCAAGAATATCCTCCATGTTTTAGCAGCACGTCTGTGTCCACGCCAGTGCATGCCGTGCCCTCATTTAGAACCTGTTTTGCCTTGCCTCTGGGTAACTTGGGTAGATAGAATTCTGAGTACTCAGTTCTCTGGGAAAGCCAGAGTTACTACAGTCTTCCTTGGTCAGGTCAGCATCTGAGATTACTTTTCCCTTCTCCCCAGGCTAGGAATTAGGAAGTTCGCTTTCCACTACTGACCCCGAAGAAAGCAAGCTCTGGGAGACCCGAAGTCTGATTCTTACTTGGCTTTCCAGTCGAATTCACTTTCCCAAAACAGCTGACCATACCAGTTGTTTCATCTTTAATATAGAGATAATCTAATCCTAAACGCTAAATCACCCCCACATATGTGCCCCACCTCTGAGCCCTTGCTTATGGCTCACCCCACCTGGAATGCCTTCTCCTCTTCCCCAGAGGTGTTCCCAAGATCCAGCTTAAATGTCACTTCCGTCGTAAATCTTCCTCCAAAAGGAACATGTGTTGTTATACTCTATCTTTTCTCTCCTAAAGATATAAATGCCTTAATAAGGCTAATAGTAGTTTTTAGTGTTTGTTAAATGTTTACTGCTATATGCCAGGCATGGAATAAGAGCTTTACATGTATCATCTCATTTCATCTTAATTCTGCATGATGGCTACTATTGCTGGCTCCAGTTTTTCAGGTGAAAAAAATGAAGCACAGAGCTTTGACACCATTTATTGAAGATGCTAGGGAGTGGCAAAGTCAGGATTTAAATGCTTTACCAGTCTAAGTTTTCTGGCCCTTATGTTCTGGCATACATTATCTTCAGTGTGTAACTAAATTTATTATATGTTTACTATATCCAGGCACTTGGGGTACCCAGGGTGTGCCAACATCTAGTCCATGTTCCACAGCAGGAACCCTGTTATCTCTGTCCCCAGCATCTAGCCTATCAAAGATGTCAGCATGTTTAAAAAAGTCATCTCTGACCCCCTGGGCCATGGGAGAGTGTTTTTAAAAGTGTAATCCCATCCAGTGCCTGTGTTATAGTGTTGAGTCCACAGAATTCCATGGTCCCAAGAATCAGTCTCGGAAGCATGGGAGTAGAGTGGGATATGGGCAGGATTCAGTTCAAGGTCACTGTCCTGGCACCCAGGTTCCCAGTTTTATGTTTTAAGTAATCTGATGGGCAATGAAAGTGCTGCAGACCACACAGAAAATAAGGGAGGCAGTAAAGAAAGATACGGTTAATAGAATGGATCACATGCTGTGTGATCTTGGGCCAGTTGCCTTTCCTTTATGTGCATCAGTTTCTTCATCTTTAATGTAGGGAATAATGGTACTACTGTCTGTGGTGGTCATTAAGATTAAATATAATGCTTGTAAAGTGCTGGAATGGTAATTAGAGCTGTTGGCAAAATATTCAGGTTCTCCACCTGCCAGGTACATGGACTTTCCATGTGATTAATTCTGGTCAATGAATGAGCTGTGAGCAGAAGTGATGTGTGTTCCAGGCTGGAGCATCTAGTGGCTGGTGGGAGAACTCCCGTGCACCCTGTTTCTTTCTGCCATGGTGATGGGCACTGGGCTGCATTAGCCCAGGCCTGGGAGTGTGGATGACAGTGCAGAGATCCAGCTATTCAGCAATGACAGAGTAGGAAGAGCAAGAAATCACCCGTTGATGATTCTGCTTTGTTACTAGCCGCCTACAAGTGCTAAGAGCAATCTCTGGCATTTAGTAAGGGCTTGTTAAGTTACAAAAAGGAAATGGGTGGGCTATAGAATAATAGGGTTTATCATTGTTTGAGTGGATGTCAGGAGACTGTAGGACCCTCTGTTCTCAACGTGGCTTTTTCCGTTACCCACCGCAACCCCCTCCATGCGTACACGTGGCTCTTACGTACCCCCAACCCGCAGCCCTCTGACACAGACAGTCCGTCCTTAGGTGGGGCACCTGCCTCAAACCAGGTAGAGGATACATGAGGGTTTTTGAACCTGGAAGACGTGAGGTTTTTGTCTTTAAAATGGTGGAAATGATAAGATAAAAACCTTGAGTGCTGCTGATTATCCTGATTTCGGCCACCTGGAAGAAGACGCTTGGAGCAACAGAGGAATGTCCCTGAGCAGACAGATGCATCGGGTCCTTACGGTGTTTGGCTTCCGGTGGTTCCTGAGATGCAGCTGCACCCTACCCTTCCCATGTTCGTATTCTGTGAGCAAGGAATAACATTCTCCACTATTTTTTTTCAAAAGTACTAGTTTGAACTAAATTTAAATTTAGTGTATTTAAAATAAATTAATAAAGCTAAAATTAAATTTACTGATTTGAACTAAATTCTAGTTACTTGCAAACTAACACAGCCCTACTTGCAGCTCTTTCACCAATCTGCTCTGGAGCTTCTTGGGGATCAATCTTGTCATCTGTCAAATGGGGGCTGGGATATTAGTCCTACCTGCTTTTTTAAAATATTGAAGTATAGTTGATTTACAATGTTGTGTTAGTTTCTGGTATACAGTACTACCTGCT